CCTGGTAGCAGCTTACCACTACAGTAGGAGAGTACATCAAGGGCTCAGTGAGCAACTGTTCACCACAGCACCCAAAGGGAAAACCAGAAGTAATGGCCACAAACTCCTGGAAAATCAATTCAGGCTCAACATTAGAAAAGACTTCTTCACAGTCAAGGTGTCCAGACTGTAGAATAAGCTCCCTCCCGAGGTGGTGCAATCACCTACTTCGCAAATCTTCAAAAGGAGACTGGACAGTCACCTTGCTGGGGTCACCTGACCTCCAGTTATCTTTCCAGCTTGGTGCAGGTGGCTGGACGCGATGATCTTCTGAGATCCCTTCCGGCCTTACAATCTATGAATCCAGCAGTTCACTGGAGGATGCGCATATTGTGCCAGAAACGGTCTAATAAGAATAGACTGAGTCAAGTGTTGTCATTTAAATCAGCCAATGCAATGCACAAGCTAGCAAAGAAGAATAAAGTTTTATGTTGCTGAACTGGCACTGAAGATTTAAAAGCTGCCAAGGCACATTACCATCCTGAATGCAGGTGGAAAGAACAATGGAAGCAACAAGTCTGTCGTTCCCATTCACACGTGGAGATTACACAAGCAGATAGTCTTTTTTTCTCCTGAAGTGACAGCATAGCATCAAGTGCCTGATGAACCAGATGCTGGTTTTGCATGAAAAAATGTGTACAGTCTGAAAGCTATATTTGAAAGATATTACAATTTAGTAGCAGATCAAGGTGGTGAATGTCCTCTAACCACATTGAAGCAAATAAAGCAAGAACTTCAGACTTGCTACAAGACAGCCATTCAATTTCAGCACCAAAGAAATGCAAATCTTCCACTCCTTGTCTTCTCAACTGTGAAAACTGGTAATGCCGTACAACTATAACTTTTCATATAAACGATGAGGAAGCCACTGTCCTGTGGTTCACAGAAGAGTTTTCAGATGCACAAAACTTTTACCATGCTGCTCTCAAGATCAAAGTAGAACCTGAAAGTTATAGTTGGCATAAAAGGATATAGCAACTTGCATGAAGAGCAAACCCAAAAATGTGTTCCTGATAACCTTTACACATTGATCCATTTGATTCTGGAAGATGACAATAACGACTTAGCTCTTGAAAGTCATGTGCAAGGTAAGAATCTAGACAGAGGCGTACTTAGTATGTCAGGATTTGGCTTATCTGCAATCAAGAGGCAAAAAGCTAAGACCAAAACATGTTGGGTTAGGATTGCTGATACATAATACAACTAGATCTATGAAGCTCATATAAAGTCTCCATGCTTCTGGATGCAGCATACCATATGACACAGTTCGTCACAACAAGATGACCATTGGTGAGAAAAACTTAAAGGAATTTCAGAAAAATTGAGTTATCCCAAGCAATCTGGTTCCCAGTAGTTTTGTTCAGTTTTCATCAGACAATATCAACATCTTAGAGAAGACACTGGATGGAAAACAAAAATTTCATGCAACACAAATTGTAGCATTTCAAAGAGGATCATCGAAACTAGCTGAGATTGAAAAAACACGACAGCATCTGAAGCAATATGGCATATTTTGATAAATATAAATTATGTATTAATAATCTAACTTATCCGCATTCTTAAATAAAAAAGAGGTATTGTCTAATTCAATACAAAGCTCAAGCAAGTAGGCTAGCTTGAGTTAATGTTTTCTGTACTGTACGCCTGCTATGAAATTTGTAGTGATAGAATCTGTGAGCTTTTCATATTAAGAGTATTGTTTACTAGTTCTTTTAATTTCATTGTGTGAATACATATATGCTAATGTCAGCCATCTTGGAATCCAATATGGCCACCATAACGGAAATGTTACGATTGATCTCCTCAGTTCATATAATGCTGTTTTCATCATTAAAATTAATTTTCCAGCCCTACTGAGGGCTGAAATATTGGCCAAAATGTAAATTTGCAGCAGACATCTTGGATTCCAATATGGTGCCTACATGCACTACTTGCCATATTGGCAACATGACTTTTCTGACTTAGGTAAACCACCTCTACTGGAAACAAATTGCAGGAGCTTGTGGCAATGAGTCACCTATAACAACAAAATCTAGAGGCCTGATTGGTCCATTTGTATCTTAGACTATTCCCCATGGGTCTGAAAATTAAAATAGTTTTGAACTATTACCTAATCATTAAATGATTTTAAACAACTACTGCTGTAAAATAAATAATATCTTACTTCGCAAATTCTCCATTGAAAACATTTATTTAAAAAAAAAAAAAAAAAAAGGTTTTGGGGTGGAGTATTTTTTACAAATAAATTAAAATATAATCTTTTTCTTTTCTGCTGCAACAAGTCTATGTTCTTCCCATTTTTCTTTCATGAAAAACCACCAATCTAATTCATAACAGATAAAATAACACAAGTCCTTTCATCAGAACCTGTTCTGGAGAACAAGCTCGTCTCTTATTTAAACCAGAACATCTCTCTCTTCTTTTTGAGAGGCTTCTTAGACTTTGGAATACTCTCTTCAGGAAGTTTCATCAAGCATGCATCCAAAATTTCAGGCCATCCTCCATCCTAATCAAGCAGTCCATGCTATGGTTCTTTCTGGCCTCACAGATCCCTTGCTTCCAATTTCTCAGTCTTAAATACCAATCTTCAAAATGTATCACTAGCTCCTAACGCTAGCAGTATAATAGCAGTCTTCAAATACTTTGAAGGGCTGCCATGAAGAAGAAGAAAAACACCTTTTCTCTTGCTACAAAAAGCAGGATGCAGACCAATGTCTTAAAATTGCAGCAAAGTAAGTTTAGATTGGATATCAGGGAAAACTTACACTGTTAGAATAAATTGTATAAACTGCCTACATAAGCTGTGAACTCTCCAACACTGACGGTGTTCAAGAAGAGGTTGGATAGCCACTGGTCAGGGATGAGATACGTGTAACTATGCCTATGTTCTCCTACAGGTACTTCCCAGGCTTCTGGGTTTTGCTGGTTGCCACTTAGGGGTGGGAGGGAATCCTGCTCCCCCACCCCTTGCTGTTACGCCCAAAAGGTTTTTTATTATTATTTTTAAGCTTTCTTCTTAAGCATTGGGTGTTGGCTGCAGCCAAGCTGGGGATTTTGACTGAGACTTAAAGCCAGAAATTCCTGGCTACAGGGTCTTGCCCCTTCACTCAGGACCAAACCAATCACCGTATTTGGAGTCAAGAATGAATTTTACCCCACGATCAGATTGGTGTGGATTGTTGAGGATTTTTGCTTTCTTCTGTAGTAGGGGGTGTGTCCTCTTCCTTGATCTCCTGAGCATATATTAACAACCTTTTACAGAAGCAGGACACGGGGTGCCAGTGCCCCCTTCTTTATCTGTGACAGGGTAGGGCATTATGCCTTGTGTGGTATCAGGGTTGATGGTAGTTTTACTAAGAGGTTAGATTATGGATTTGTACAGAATGGTTTGGGGAGGGATGATCTTGCCTTAGGCAGCAGGCTGGACTAGACCTATGGAGGTCCCTTCCAGCCCTATTTCTCTATGATTGCTATGAAGTTCTCATGGATGCCTTCTAAACGGCATACAGCTAGCTTTTACAGCTTGTGGAAAGGTGTTTCTTATCATTAAAATCTCGTCATGTTTCAGATGTACAAATGGGAAGGAAATACTCTTAAGGATGACATGCAAATACAAGAGAAATGTACGGACATTTCTTTATTCACACAATGACCCACAACAAATTGCTATTTGTTCAGTGGTCAAAGTAAGCCACGCCATACTATTCTCTGGTAATTTATTTTATCATTCATTAGGCAGAAGCCTCAACACTAACCATCTCACATACACGTGAAAAGTCTATACACTTAAATTTAACAGAAGACAAAAAGTGTTCAATTGTGACTATTTCTATCAGCCAACTGTTACTGAAGGTCGAAAAGCCAGACCTACCCAAGCTCAGCAGCTCACCACTCAATTAATCAAGTCTGCTCCGCACATGAGCTGACGTGCCCAGTGTCGCATCATGTGCATTTGTATAAATGATGAAATGTGTGTCAGTGCTGAGAAAATGGCAGTGGTATGCTTCTGAACTAAAACACCTTCGATGCGTTTTAGTTCAAAAGCGCGCCACCACCATTTTCTCAGTGCTGTGTGCATTTTGCCATTTATACAGATGTATGCACACAGCATTGGGGGCATTTAAAAGCATGCGGCGCAACCATGTGTACAAATGCCCACCAACACTTTTTCTTGCCCTCTGATCTGAACAGGGAGACCTCTACATCTCTTTGGAGCCGTAATGATTTTCAACAGGATCTTAGATGGGAGCCTGTTACCATTTTTTCTCTCACTGCTTCTTGACCGGTGTCTTATGTTAAACTCCTTATAAAAAGAGGCTGTCAGTTTTCCCTTTCACACAGCTCTTTCACACAAAGGACAAAAACAAATTAAGAGGCAGGTGAGTGTGCCTGCAAAAACTGAAAATGCAGGCTCAAACACAGCACAGGAACACCGCGACCTTATTTCATTTTGATATTAAAAGCACTTACAAGCCGACAGACATCCTCTCTCATAGCCAACAAAATAAGAAAAACAACTCCGTTCGCATTATACCTACAAAGGCTATAAGCTAGAAATGGACCTTAACAGACAGGACACCCATGTGGTAAACATATACTTAACACAGCAAAACATGCAGCTATTTTCAGCTGTACATTAACACACCCTATGACAACAGGGTTGGGGGGAGGTTGCTGAGGTGCAAGAAAAGGGTTTTTTCTTAGTGATATCTGCTACCCTGGGACTGGGCAGTCGGTCCCGAGGCTGGGCTAGCCTCCCTCCGCCCCACTAGGCGATCAGCAGCGAAATCGCGGTCTCCATCAGCCCGGGAGCGAACAATGCCCGCCGG